TTTTCCGTTCCTTCTGTCTTGGTTTATTGTAATACTAAAACAGAAGCACTGAAAGTATTTCAGAACATGTTTGGTCGATTCCGCTGGCGAAGGAAAGCTGGGGCCGGCGTTATTTGGATGCTCCTACGTCAACCCATTCCCTCGCCAAATAGTGTCTGTTGACATATGCCGATCCAGTTCGCTGCACGGTTTTTATTATTAATTAATATCGATCTTTATCTAAAAGTGACCGGAACTTCATTTTCGACCCAATACAAAAGCACATTAAAGATCATCTTGGCGTTTAACCTCTATGACATCTGTAACAGCTTAGTTAAATATCTTACGAATCTGATATCTATGTCTTCCAGGCTAAATAATTCAGATGTTGACAAACAGCCACTGATAACTAGTGACAAAACCCTGGTCCTTCTCAAAATAAACAGCAACACTGGCACATTCGAAGGTCGCACGAAAGGTTCCATTAGTAGTAAACAAACATTCGTTTCGATTCATATATCGACTGCAGCAAAACTGTAACAGGAAGTAGTGCGGGGAGCCTATCTCGAACAATTTGAATTAGAAAAAATGCCTTCTACCATACAAAAATGTATTCTGTTGGGTAGTATCACCATACAATTTTATCTTGTGAATAAATTAATAGTTTCACCATTTTCTGGTCATGTCCACGAAAAGCCAATGTAAAGCAAAAATATACAGTCCTTCAAACAGGATCGGGGAAATGCCCTGATTACTCATATTCAGCAATTTGCATACAAATCTAGTACTTTCTCATATCCACTCTTGCACATACGCATGCTTACAAATGTCGGCCCGGATACCAGCTATCCTGACTGGGGTTTTCCATAGTTTTCCTCAGTCCTTCCAGGAAAATGCTGGGACAGTACCTTAAATTAGGCCACGACCGCTTACTTTCACATCATTTAAAATTCACTATCATCTTCTCATTAAGCGCCATCTAGTCTGAGCTACTAGAAATGCGTCGTTAATTAAACAACTACATAAACAAATTCATTCATTCACACATTTACAGAGTAAACTGTTTGTTGCCACAGTTAGGTGGCCATCATTGTTATGCACTTTACAAGCTATGGTAGTTAATTTTCATGGCTATGAAATGTTTAATTGTGGTCTTTTGGATTATGAAGCCATGTATTGTTGTGATTACCGAAGTTTTGGAATAACCTGTCACATCGAACTTCAGGATAAAAATAGCTTACCTGCCAATGGAGGTGACTGGTTAATCAAAGATGTTGGTAACCACCTGAAACACTACATGGCATCATAACCCAGATCACAATCCAAATATTTTTTCTATTTTTTCTTGTTTTCCAGACGGTACCTTTCATTGGAGAACTGCCAGTGCCTATTGATGTTGGCCGAGTCATAGATGTGGAGGGCGAAATCTTACCACATGCAACCAGGTATTCGTAATGCGTTATAATACCATTTAACCAATGAAGTGTACGTATGTGATTTGTCTGGTTCTCAGAATTATAATTTCACATCATTAACCAGCTGATTTTTGTCAGATGTTTTCTTGTAGGTAGGAACCAACCATATTTCCCTGAGATACATTTTAGTATTATCCTTTCATCTTTCCAACCAATATTATGTAACTGAATTTTGCTTTTATAACTATAGGTTTTCAGTCGACCTGGTGTGTGGATCAACTCAAATGAGTGATGTGGCCTTCCACCTGAACCCAAGGTTTGATCAAAACCACGTCGTGAGGAATTCTCGTCTGGGAGGCCGGTGGGGTCACGAGGAGTGTTCAGCCTCACAGAGAAATCCATTCCAACGTGGAACAAAGTTCTGCCTCATCATTTTAGCTGCAGAGGATGGGTTCATGGTAACACTGCTTTGTGGTTTTGTTTCCAGAAAACATTAGCATTTAGTATGCAAACCAGATTATCAAAGGTAACTGTGCTTTTGTATAGCTGTCACAGCAACTGGCTAGAAATGACACGAATTACAAACTGCGAACTTCACGATTTCAACACAATGCAGCAACACTTTGGATTTCGTAAAACATTCTCCTTCAAATTGCTAACCAGAAGATAATTAATGGCATATACGAGTAGTAACAGACATTAGCACCCACGCCTGATTAATGACAGAATTAAATTACAGATTGGGCAAGAGCTTATCTAATACCTGGCAAAATCAGTTCAGTCCTGCTAGTGGTATATTTCAGATTTCATTTCAGGGAGTGTTTTGAAAAGTCAGCCAAAATCACACTTTACTTTGTAGATACCCACATTATCTACTGTATGCAGTGTTCTTCCCATTATCAGATGTTTCATTTATAATTGTATTTTACAAGAATATACATGTTTCTTCATGTCTACTCAGACATTTCAGGGAGGGTATGAACTTTTAAAACTTAATTCTGAATATGGCCTCAGTTATCCCATCTTCCTATATGAATTCAAATTTGTCCCTGTAGTGCAGATTCACTAAAAACTCT